AGTTCTTATATAAAAAATGTAACCTGTAAATAAATTAAGCCATGTGAAAATTTTAATAATTCGACAAAAACCGCGCAAGTCTAGAAAATTATCTCACCTGTATGAAATGCAACCAAGACAGTCAAGATTCAGCTTTCAACTGAAATCCTGTCTATCCCGGCCGTTCATTTCATACTAGGTTTACGTTTGTAGATTTACATCTCCATATTTGTAACTCCTTCGAAATTTGCAATAATTACTTTAAATTTTAATTTGAATTTTAATTACTGTTATTCTGACCTTGAGTACGTTTTAAACATCTAATGCACTTTTTCAATAATTTCCAATCTTTTGCAGAATCTTTAAATATTGTTTTCCGTAGTTAATTTATCTCAACATCTGAACTCTGGTCACTTCAATCTCATTGGTTGCTTCTTCCTCCTAACCAAATACATTCTCCGACAAAACAAGTAAACAACCGCGTTCTAATGAATCGCATGTTCTGGGAATCGTTCAGGTTAAAAGGTCACCCTATTGTGGTCAGAATTTAAGTTTATTTTGAGGTCTTCAGAGCTCCGTGAACTTTCTCTGCCGAAGAGTGCAAAATACACAAAAACATATTACAATCTTATTTTAGTGCAATTTATGTTATGATAATTATTCGAAAAAGCATATAGGAAGAGAGAGCAAACTCTTCGTGAGAATTCCACATTCTACCTAAAATTAGCTTTTTAAAAATTCTCTTGTCTGTTGTCCAGGTCCAAGTTCGACACGTACGTTTGAGAAGGTATTCGAGAAAGTTCCCAATGTTCCCATTCCTGTGATGTATATTTCACGTTTTTATATCCCCCGCCTGAAAAGTGGGATGGTATATAGTAATCGTTATGTCCGTCCGTCTCTCTGTTACGCTTTGGGTTACTCATATCTTATTCGCAAATCCTCTTATACCACTTAGAGAAATTTAATGAAACTTTCACAGAATCTTAAGTTTATTACATATTATCATTATGCACCTCCTATTTTACTTTTTGATCTGACACGTATTTTGGGGTTTAGATGCACGAGTACGTATTATGGCAAAATATGGACTTTGCCATTATAACCATATGGAAGCAGGGGGTATCATTTAGTGAGCTCATTGCTCATAATACATGTACGTCTAGTTTCTCTTTCAATTTGGGCGTTTGGGTTAATTTCCCGTCCAAAGTAAAATTATTATTCAATTTATGAAGTTTCGACATCCCGCCTGAAAAAAATCATTGATATGTCTTACGGCTTAATAAATCGTACAGCACAAAGTGCGTAGGATTTTATACCTATCATTACCCTAACAGATGGTTACAGAGAGAGAGAGAGAGAGAGAGAGAGAGAGATCAATTTACAAAATAATAAACAATAATTATCCATATTCAACCAGTGTCAAGTATCCCTACCCTAGCTTTTATAATTATCTCCAAAATACTCCCACAGAAATTAGAAATTATATTTATATTAAAAAAACATAGCTAAACTGTCAGGCAGGGATACTGAAATCTCGAAAGACTTCCTGTAACAACATAACTATAAAACAGTTACATTCCTCAAAATGCACATACTTTGTATCAACTTCGGAGTGACACATTTTAAAAAAAACTGAATTCGGCAGAAATGTCTGTCTTCCAAGAATATTTAAATAACGGTCAAGTCAATTATTTTTGCATGCCCTCCCCCCCCCCCCCCCCGTCCAAAAAATCAAATGCCTAAATGTCAATCTGAACAAGGGATGACCTTCCTCCGTGTGTGTATGTGTTAAAGAACGTATAGATGTACACATAAAAATTTGTATTCTGGTTAATTTCTTTTAAGATTTGAAGTAAATTATTACCGTACATCAAATTATTTGGTTTAGATTTGAGATTAGTACTGAAATAATCAGTTATAATTCAAAAATGAATTTTGCGACGCAAACCAACTGCAGACTATAAACACGACTTTGTATAGAATGAATATTAGAACTATATGTAGATAAACAATTCACAATTATAGCTTATGAACAGAAGTTATAATATCCCCCCCCCTTTCAGCCGCGCAAATACCAAATAACTTCTCTTTCCAATTGTGATATTTTCCCTGACCAAAATCTGATCAGCAAGGACTAAGTGTATCGACGTGTTAGTCTGTACGGAGTAATGACAGTGTGTTTACTATTGAGGTTTTATGGAGTTTATTTCTTTTTTGTGATGCATATTCACCCCTTTTAATGTTATTGTGATTTAAATTCAAGACACGTGGTTTAGATTAATCTATTCAAAGGTTATACATGTAGGGTAGAACCGGTTTTATAAATAAAATTGGCAGTAAACATGATATTGCTATAGCCTGTTTCTTTTGAAAACATGTCCTGCAATAAATGTTTCCAGATCTTTCTGAAAGACTTTCATGATTTTCAACAGAAAAAGGGTGGCTAAAGGAGGGGGTGTTAAAATAACAATATATTTTATACTTTTCGGCGAAAAATTAGAGCTCACTAGTGACCGATTCGCTGGTAAAAAATGTGCATTATCATCTACACTGACAAACCTTTGTTTGCTTTTTATGGCTATTGTTATAAATGCGCACAGAGGATCTTACCACGAGCAACTGACCAATCGTTGAATAAATAGCAACGTTTACGCCAAATACATGTTTACATTTTACTTCGAACACGTAGTTTAGGTCAATCTACGATCATGTTAATGAACTGCAAAATTAAAAAAATGTTCTTACAAACAAAATACAGAGATAAGAAAGTATGAAAAATGTTACTAGCGTTTTTAATTTGTTTTTAAATTGAAAGAAAAAAATGTCAAATAATTATGTAGTTTGTGTCTAGTTCAGAACACCAACGCTTCAAGGGTAAGGAAAACAAGCAGCGTCTCTTATACATTGAAATGGCAAAAATTTGTTTACGTTCGTGATCACGTGTTCGGCCAGGGAATTTACCTGGCAATTGTATTCATCGATAGTACAACAAAGGAATTAATACAGACGCAAATCGCTTTTGCAGTATAACTTTCAGAAACCTAGTCTTCCGCCGTTTATTTAAAAGATGAATTGTTTGTCATTTTGAGCATGAAAATAATATTTTTAAAAATGCTTTTCATTTACCAAAAGATTTTCCTTTATTTCAAGAGTAAAATTCCGGTAGCATTCGTAGTAACCCATAATGCAATACTCATTCAGGTGATTGGTCAGTTAAAATCATGCTGGTGCTTCATTTGCTAATCTGACGCCAAAAATATACTCCCCGTTCCCAAGCAAAAATATTTGTCCAAAAAGAAATTTTAATTTATGACTGCAGAAAATTGTATTATAAAGAATACTTATTTAAGTTTGAATGAATGTAAAAGAGATCGATTGATTGAAGTACATTTTTACATTATCAGCTGATTCTAGGGTGGTGAAAACTGAAACGCAGCATAACTTTTCTGTTTAGCATGTCTCCACGTGCTAGTCACTTCTCCTAGCCACATTTCCGTGAATAATTTACCCTATCTCGCTGAAGTCTCGGTAACTCTCGCCAGAGCCACTGCCAGAGCTACTCTGAACTCATCGGGTTTTATAATTTGCAGAACACCGAAAAAATAAAAGGTTCCGAACACATTAGTAGGGTTGATATTTCAATAAATGGAATTCAGGGTGTATTTCACTTGACTTGTGCACATCTTCGAACCGATGCAGTAACCTTATTGCAAGGTACACCTGTATGGGTACGTTTACAGCGTTCGACAGCTGTTCGAGGCGTTTTCTCGATATGCATCAATTGCGGAGGACCTGCAAATCAAAGGCGTTTGTTGTTTTGTTCCAATCAAATGATATAATTTCAAAATGTGTTTGCTAATTTTAATGCTTTTTATTTCAAGTTTATTCTGCATAAAGTGGCGCACTGTAAAAATATGTACTCATGCATCTAAATTTCTCTTCCAAACTTGCATTTTTTTTCTTTTGATTCAAATCAAAAATCATTCAAAAATATGATTAGGCCTATGTTTTTTATTTCGGTTTTAAATGTCTTGATCACCTCATGTGTTCTCAAATGCTTTACCATCGGAGATGTGCACAAATCGATACCCAAGACAAAAAATCATTCAAGTGTAACGAGCGCATTGGGGTATATATCGTTACAATGAGACAAGGTATCTGAATGAAACATGGCGGAATAAGGCTATAGTTGGTATGAAACATGTCGTACATAGATGAAAATGTTGCGTTTGTAAAAATTCATGTCAGCTTTAATGACAACAAGAAGTAGCGTGAGTGGCCTTTTATATAGCTGTAGAAACTGTAATTCTTTGGCTTCGTTTTAATCAGCATATCTGCAAAGTTATAATTCAAACAGATGAAGAAATTTTTCTTGGATAAATTTTATCTATGCCACAATGATTTTTTAACACCAGTAGTTTATTTAATAGTATGTGTCTGATAGTTTTTTCTATGTAATATATATGTTCATTTTTACTCTATTTTCTACTTTATTTTTCTACTTTATACATACTAATGGTGCTATCCTGTCTAAATAAAAGCATTTATTATAAACTGTATTATTTTTTATATTTCTCATTTGTGAAAATATAAAAGAAAACAGTTTAACATAATTATTATAAACAGAAAAAGAAAAATGAAGACAAAATAACATCAAAAATACTATAACAATTTATTCCAAAATACTGTGAGAAATGCTATTCCAGATTATTGTTTAATCCTTTTATTTGTTTTTTTTTTTACTGATTCAGAAATAGGAAATTTGCTTGCACATCCACATATAATTTCCTTTTTTCGGATTGTTATCTGTTTGAAGATATATTAGGGCTTCAAATCTGATTTAATTTAAGTTCATTATAATAATAGGAAACTTAACTATTAATAGTCAGTCTTTTATAAAAATCGTATTGATATGCAACCATATATTCTCCAACAGTTCAGATTCATGTTTGTTATTACAACGACCGAACGAATGGGAATATATTTAAATACAAATTAAATGTATAAGATTTATATTTCAGGGGAATTATGAAAACGGACCAATCAATCAAATTTCAAGTCATACAGACGCTTTTGCAACCACTGGCTGACTCATATTTGCAAGTTTTCGAGCACTTTCACACAAAACGTGAATTCTTCGGACTACGCGATTTTTACAGGTAAGATTACGTTAAACTTCTAACATTTTAAAATAAATAATCCCTTACTATAAACATTTAAAACCAACCATTATTAGTTACTATTACCGTAGATTCCTTATTTTTCGCGAATACTTATTATCGCGAAAGGCCTCTTCAATGTCAAATCGCGAGAATAATAATTTGCGAATGGACGGTTTATCAAGAGATTTTACATCGTTTTAAGCATCATGAAAATAAAAGCGAGTGATCTTATTTTGCGACTGGTGCTCTTCCCGAAATTACGCGATAATTAATTCCACGCGTATTTTTAGGAATTTATGGTACATAGTTAAAATCAACTTCTCTCTTCAATTTAATTTTAGGCGTCTCTATATGATTAAAAATTTCTCGAGAGGGATGTTAAACCATGTACAATCAATCAATTAATCAATTAATTTTTTAAATGTGTACCTTTTTTATGTTATCTAGTTGAAATTTATGAAAAAAAATGTAACATTCATTTCTCGGTACTTCTCAATCAGTCATCTTTTGAAAATTTAAACATAGAAATTTTAATTTTACTCTCAAGCATCTAAATGAAGCTTACAAACCATTTGTACAATAATAAAAAAAAATAGTTCTATCATACCACTTATGGTAAAACTACTGATCTTGTAACTTGTTCCAAATAGTTCTAAGCTGTTACATGTAACGTTTACCAATGACAGACAATTAAAGATTTTTGGTCATAACTCTCGTCAATTAAGGGTTTTTGGTCATAAATTTTCCCACTTTAAAAGATTGTCTCAATGATCTCAATGAAAGGGAAAAAACCTGAGTTTCTGCTTCCTGAAGCATGACATTGAAATATTACCGCGTTTTATTTATTAACATATATTTTCCATTCAAAAACTATGTACTGAAAATCAAAAAAATTTAAGGCATGCGTATTTTTACAAATTATGACTCCTCTGTGAGGCTTATGGGGAAACGTTGGAAATCCAATATATTTAAACGAAAAAATTAAAGATTTGCAAAAGGCGGTATCAGAGGCTTGTGCTAAATACAATCACGGATCAGAATTACACTGTATGTTGATATGTTGAGGGTGATAATCCCTAAGTTTGAAATAAAATTCTGGTTTCTTACGATATAGTAATTTGACGTATAAAGTTAACTTGCAAAGGCTCAAATGCCTCTCGACATATCGCATGGGAACGAAAGTGTTATAAACACACACAAATACAATCGAACGGACGGACAGACAGATATAAATAAATATTTCTCATTTTAATGATAGCGGCGGATTAATATACATACCGGTATAACTTTAAGCTATGATGAAGTACTTTGTTACTGAGCTAAATATTGATTTTTTATGGACTTATTACTCTCAACAGCTTAATCAAAATGCTATACGGGTATTGTGCTAAAAAAGACCCGACTTGGTACATTCTTCAACACTGCGTTCTAAGGAATTTCAGCGGATTTGATATAAGTGAGAGGACACCATGGGGGATATTTGAGGCTAATCTTCAACCTCTCTTCGATGATTCTTCAAAACAGGTAAAAGTAATGTTTGAATCATTTTTATAACACAATCATTTATATCATGTAGACCGTCTTAACTTTATTTTTCTGTTCTTTTTAATGTAAAACAATTGATGTTTATTAATTTTAAATGTTTCTTGATTCATTAAGAAAATGATGTAAAAATGTAGAAAGCAATTTTCAAGATTTAACTATCACCATTGTGGGAATTGGAGAACGGTCCTTCGGATTAGACCATATAAACCGATGTCTCATATCGGAATAGTTGCAGATTAAAAAAAGAACCTTTACTGCTCAATGGTCTTTAGTGCCGAATATACACGTAGGTCAATATTTGTAGCTCTCCAAATACAAGTGGTTGCGTCGTACTTATAAGTGAAAATTCTCGACTTGGAGGTTAAATTACAAAAAAAAAAAAAAAAAAAAAAAAAAAAAACGTGGATCTTTGACACAAAAAAATTTAAATATTTTGTGCCTAATTTTACTAAGGTTGATTTTTTCCAAATAACCAGAGAAACTAGTAAATTGGGATAGCTCTTAACGTAATTGAAGTAGTTAAAAACATATTCTGGATTTTATCTATGCGCCGTAGACCATATCGGCCTTCCTTTAGATTGTCATGATAAAATTACTGTCAAAAATATTATTTTAAAATGCAGTATATTGAGAAACAGTGGATTAAGTGTAGCTTATATTGAGAAACAGTGAATAAAGTATAGCTTTGCACATGGATTATATGTGGTGATAACCAATATTTCCCCTTAAAATTCAAACTTTGACGGAGATATCAACAAATTTTGCAAATAATCTCCGAAATAGCTACACAAGATTTCTTACTAAAACCTGTAGGAATACATTAGGAAATAAGGTATTGCCAGTAAACTTTATTCAGATTTCACTCGCATAGTAATTTTCGTAATTAAAAGTATACTTTCATTTTCGGTTAACAGCCTTAAAATATTAAAAAAAAAAGAGATTAAAGTGATGGTCTCGGTTTGTGGATCTAGGTTATTGACATTTCATATCCAAACATGACACAACAAGCAAGATTCTGAAATAGTTTTGTTAGCAGTAAAAAAAAATAACCCCCTGCTTTTGCACGGGATTTTAGCTAGTATTTGTATGCAATAAAGTTCTAAAACAGGAGGGTTAAAGCAGACTTCGAAGCACTTAATATTTTCATAAACCCTGGTGTTATGTGTTTGATATGACGTCAGCAAAATGACGTAAATTTATTATTTTTTTTATGATTTTTTGCAGTGATTGGTAAATTACGTCGATATTTTGAGTTAATGTGATTAAGCGCAGGTCTACTGCAGCTCAAAATTTTGGCATATTGTGTCGAATTATAATATCAATGATATATGTAAAATAATATTATTTTGGAGCAGGCCTGCACTCAATGAATTTTATAGTAAAAATAAGCAAATAATGTCCATTTTTTTTCTCTTTCTAAAAAATAATCCAAAATCCGACTAGTCATAAAAACAAAAATTCAATAGCCTAGTTTGAAACTATATTTTTGTTGATTTTAGATTTCTCACACAATATATACAATTCAGTTCATTCCAATAGATTTTCAACAAAAAAAGACTTATGGGGGCAAAAACATACCATAAACCCCATACAGTTTTTGTGTTTTGTTTCAATGTTTACAAAATGTTCTTATAAATCACAATATAGGCATTGTAAGTACGTAAGTAATATCGATATATTTTTTACGTTCTAGGTTGATGATCCTGATTGTTCTCCTGCAGGTTTAATTGAGGCATGTTTAAGAGGAGACCAGTTCGACAGGTCGGTATCATTGAGTACATTTAAGTACTGAACATAAAGACACATTTCTATCAAATTATTAGCGAAGTAGTGAACGGTTAAGCTATTGACATCACAAGAATCATCGACATCACAAGAACTATAATGATTCTACCAAATGTTTTTAAGTATGAACTAGAAAACATTTTTGGTTTGTTATTGAAACGAAAGAATTAAAAAGTAATAAATATTTTGAGTTTGTCATATCAAGTAAGAAAGTAAGTAGGTTAGATTTTCGAAAGTGTAATGAATACTGAGCTATATTTTATAAGTCAAGAAAACGTTGTCAATATTATGGTTGAGGATTATGATTAATGTAATTATTCAAACAGCTCGTCGATATTTTAACTTCGAGTTACAATATAGTTAAAATGTAGGCCATTCAAACATAGCAATTAATAAAAACAGCTTATTTACTGAATGGATATTGTCGACATTGTTGATACAACTCTGTTTCATAATGAAGTGAAAATGAAGAAGACACTTTATATGATGAAAAAGAAAAGCAACAAACAAAAACATCTGTCGATACCCGATATCTTCTTTTGCTGACTGAGAGTTATGGTGCTTTGTGGATTCTTCAACAGAAGCTTTTAACCATTCAAAATGCTACAACTATCTTTGGAAGCAATTTTCCAAGTGATCAAGAATACACACAGGTAAATAGATCAGATACATTTATCAGCAAAACATATAAGTTGAAAGTAATTTTTGACTTATTTATCAATTGATGTATTTAGGTTTGTCGTAACATCAACAAAATTAAAGTTTGCATGGAAGCTGGGACTACAGTTGTTCTCTTGAATCTTGAGAATCTCTACGAAAGTTTGTATGATGCACTTAATCAGGTACTTGAAAGTTTACCAGGAAAATCTCTTAGTACACATTAAATAAGATAGTGAAAATAATTTTTCAACAATTATGATAAATCTTAATTCCTAAATTTTGGTTATTTTTAATATCGTTTTCTGGTGGAATCGCATTTTTTCTTTACGATAATATATATTTACTAAATTATTTCTTTGAAACATTATTCTCTTTATGCACCTTTTCTCCGATTATTTTAGTGTTATGTATATTTCGGTGGAGAGAGATATGTCGATCTTGGTCTTGGTTCGCATAGAGTTAAATGCAGAGTCCATAAAGATTTTAGGTATAATATGCCTATCAGTCTATCTATCCATCCATCTATCCATCCATTTTCTGTCCAATTATAACGCCAATAATATTGTGCTCATGAAATTCAACATAACAATAATCAGCATTTTACGAGTTTAACGACATGTCAAAACCCAAGTATACTGTGGTTATGTAGTTAAAAGGTGTTTGATAGACGAGCTTTTTTGTAGACTCATTGTTGTTGCTGAGAAGGATACTGTGTACAGACAATTCCCTATACCTCTAATCAACAGATTAGAGAAACATTTCTTGAACATATCAACGTTACTGTCAGGCTTTCAAG